CACAGCCACCATGTTAGGTGGCTTTGCTGCCATGGCTGCTTGACTTCTGGACTGACAACCTGAGGTTCAGTACGATGGGAAGTTTTCAAAATGCTAAGCCGTAAATCAAGCCTGTATCTTCACTCACGGTGGGCTTAATGAGAGCATAAATAAAAGGAAAATCCAAAATGACAGACAAGCACAGGGCACTCAGACTGAAAAATATCTCAAAGAAGGCTACTTTGCATCCAGATCCAAACTGTCAGCAATCAGTCCATAAAGAACATTAAGGATTAGTGCAATGTTCATCAGAAATACAACTTTACAGTACACAAGTTCAACAGGACTTCTCACAATGCCGCTTTCCAGGACCCTGCATCAGATAAAGGATGGAGTGCTACTGCGGTTTTTTCTTTCAAGTAAACAGTTTAAAATGTGTGTTGTTCAAGGCAACCCAGCTTCTTCTGTGTTCATATCATTTTACAGAACTCTTGCCATCCTTCACTCCTTTATCCAGCTAAGTGCTCAGCAACAATGGACAAACAAAATCTAAACTAGCGTTACCACTACCCTAGGGATAACACTGAATAAGAGTTATGCAGTATAATCTGATAATAGCTGGCTTCAAGAACTGAAAAGAAAAAAAAAGCTTAAAAAGGGGATATATTAGAAATTTAGATTTTAAATCCTACGTGCAAAGTGACACACATTTTGGGAATTGCTCTTTTGGCTTTAAAGTAAAGAAGGTGATAGAAATAGGTTCTCCTGATATATGAAGTATATATAAATACTGCCCTAAAAAATAGCTGTGCACGATCACACAAGGATGAAGAGTAACCATAGTGTTTTACAAAGAGAAGCCTTTCACACCTGGTTAACAGACCAGCTCACATCATGAGAAAAGTAACATAAGTGTTTTATGTATTAATCTTACTAACTCTATGGTTACCATCATCCTGATGGATGGAATATATGCACAGGACAAACGAGCACAACTCCAGTCCACAGCTTGGCCCAAATAAAGTTGCTTCCAAAGATCCTTGAGGAAATGACTGTGGATGCCAGAGAAAGAAATGAAAGACACTTGGTGGGGGGGAATATTTCCAATTGAAATATAGTATTTCAAGAACAAAGAGAGATGCACTGTCTTGAAGTACACGTTTTTACATTGTTGGCCAAGTGTTTTGGGCTTTTAAAAGCCATTTGAACTCTTGGTGACTTCAGTGACTCAAAAATACACCTGACTCTAAATTGAAAAATTCCTAAGGAAAAAACAAAAGGAAACTGTAATTTTATGGAAAACTTGATACTGTAAAAATTAGACTTGTCCTTTTAGTTTAAAAAAAGTATGATTTTAAGAAAATATTAAATTTAACGGAGACTGTCAATTAGTGACTAACTAATGAGCATATATTATCCTCCTTTCCCTCAGAATATTTTCTTACTTTTAAATTATAACATCGGAATTGTTGGTAGTTTAATATCCACTAATTTTGTTTAAAAAAAATATTGCTTCAAGCCAGTATTCTAATCTTTTATTTCCAGTGAAGTATACAGCTAAGATGACACAGAGCTCCAATATTTAAGGATAAATTGTAACTTTTGTTTTCATTTAAATAATGCTAGTCAAAATGCTTTACTGAAGAATGTAAAATGAAAGGGTGTCAAGTCGTGGGGATCTATGGAGAAATGATAGAAGGCAGTCTGGGCATGAAAGTCCAACATCTGCCAGTTTGAGAAAAACAGAGCATTCATTCTAGGGAATAGCAACTGTGCAACTCCAACTTCTTAAAACATAGCAAGTTATGGTTAGAATTATTATTCTATTGTGATAAATGTTGTATGGCTCTATTTTGACTATAGTAGCATTTGTTTTTCATGTTGCCACCTAGATGCTCAAAGGCATGAGGTTCTACATTTTGAAAGGTGGAGGTCATCAGATTACTTGTGGTAATTACATATTGTTTCAACTATCCTTCTGAAAGGGAACTAACATGCTGCTATGTTTAGAAGTCTTATATATTCCCACAGAGATCAAGGCAGCAAGTTCACATCCACAGTTGTCACATGGCTTTGTACCACGTCAGAGTCAAGTTGTGTTACAGAAGCTAAGATAATACCCGGCCACGGAAGTATTCCCAGGGTTTCAACCATGAGAGTAGTCAAAGACATGCGACTTTCAAATCCTTTTCTAATTGGCTGGTCCTGAAAGAAATGCAGGTGTTACAAACCCCAGACAGTCTGCCCCTTTATTGTGGGTTGTTGAGTGACGACTCCAGAAGCCAACAGTAGGGGCTGATCTGGTAGAACACTAAGAGTGACGTGGGTTGGGTTTGGATATAGATAGGTTGTGGGCATAGGCGTGGATAGAGTAGGAGGCTAAAATGGGGGCAGATGAGGTTAGAACTTGAAAGTTGGGCTCATTTCACCAGAGCAGAGCAGACTGGTTTACTTTGTTACTCATCAAAAGCAAGGGAGACTTCTCTGAAATTTATTTAGGGGCTTGGAATCTCAAGTTCTGCTTCTAGATGTAAGCATTTCTCCTAGCCCTAAATTAGATGTGTCGTGTTTTGTACAGAAATGAAACTAAATGGAATCTTTCATGGTTTAAATTTCTTTTCTCCACTAGGAATAAGCTGATATGTTTTCATTGCTAAACATTTGAGAACTTACAAGTTGAAAGATGTAACTATTTTTATATCTTATTTCAGTGCACGAAATGCCTTTCTATACAAACTTTCCCAAATTTACTTTCCAGCTTAAGGTTCATGGTTTAGTTTTAATCCAAGAAAACCAGATGCTTTTGTGAGGACAGCTTCCTCATTTGAAGGCCATGAAAATCACCAATTTTCTCTTTTGTTTTGTTTTAAAATACAAAGAAAGAAAATACTGGGACAGTTGGTTTGAGGAGGGAGTGTAAGAATCTTGGAAAAGGAATAACTTCCTGAGCGATCATACTCTTGACTACCATATGATGTGTAGTTGAGTTTATAGTACAAACCCTGAGGAAAACAATTTGAGATATTTACCCCTCCTAAAAAGGGGTTTGCTAAGTAAATATACCATCTAATTATATATAAGAATTTGGTCCCACTTAAAACAATATTTGTTAATTAACTATCATAGCCAATATACATTAGAGAAAATCTAACAATTACGGTGACTCTAAATACACTTTACATAGCACTGGCATGAGCCTTAAAATGGAAAATGCATTTAACATAGTTGAAAGGAGAACAATAAAGAAAAACAGGTTTAATTGTTTTCTTAGCTAAGTAGCTAGGCACTTTCTCTCCATGTAACCAAATGCCTTACGTGCACTATTTTGTTAACCTATAGATTTTATTTCTTTATTAGTAAAAATGTGTAAACCATCACAATAAGAAAAAAACTTGGGTTCTGGGAAGCTGGATGCATAAGATGTTATATAACCAACTGGTTTCCAACCTTCAAATCAGACACAAGTCAAGGAAATAATAATGACCTTAGCCAATGGGAAAAACATCAAGCCAGATTTCTCCCAGCTGTGTTTCTTCCCTCTGTGGCCTTCAGTAACTTCAATGGAAGTTGAGCGTGTTTTGGGAGAAAGATGGCCAGAAGAATCAAAATTATTAAACCAAAAAGGTCAATCTTCAAATTAAGTCTTGGCCCAGGCTCACTGCAAGAACAAGGTTTATCCCTTCCAATGTCCCAGTGCTATAAGCAATATGGCCGACCAGCCACAACTCAAATGGGGCTGATATCACATGCTATCCTGCCAAAAGGGTGAGTAAAGGAAAAACAGTTGCTGGCTTTAGTATGAACAAATCAAGCTATTAGTGTTTCCTTAGCATTCCTCTTGATTTCCAACTCAAGCTTACGGTGACTGCAAGAGATAGGAAAAATCCTCAGAGGAGACAGATCTTTGGATTTAATTCCAAATAGACAGCCAAGGAATTTTGACAAAATTGCTCACAAAAAGTTGACTTTGCCTTTGAAGTTCTTGTGTGTTCCATATTTAAAGTCAGACACCTTCATTCATCCAACAGTAGCATGGAGCCTTCAATAATATGATACAATGGTTTTATTTTTTTTTCAGATTGAAAAAGGTCTTTCATATGATTCTTCTCCATTCTGTTATAAAATCATCAGCTAATATGTTTTCAAGGGTTTGTCAAGGAAATAATCTGAGCTACCTTAAACTTCATGTCTAACTGGCCTGATGTAATTTTTTAATGACCACAGTTGTGCTAAAAATGGTTTGGATCAGTTCCTACTAAACAGGATGAACTGTATGAAGTTTCTACTAACACATTAAGAGAAAAGCTATTTAACTAACCTTTATCCGTAGGATTTAAATAAAACCTGTTAATTTTCTCCCTAGTTAGTCATTTAGATCCAAGGAGATAAAATATTATGGTGTTGGTCAAAACATCAATGAAAACACAATTTCTCAATACCCCAAATATTACTATAGTGTGACATAGGTTATGTGAACACCAGGATTGGGCGCTGCTCCTTCAAAAAGGGCTACTCCCACTAAAACCTTATAGAGCTCATTAGCACATTAACAGCTCGAAGTCCTGAGGTTAGACAAAACCAAACCAAACCTGTTTAGTGTTGTCTGATCCAGAATTTCTACAGCTAGCCTGAACACATCACTTCTTTTTCATGTAATTCCTAATGCTGAACCAACTTTGGGACATGCACACCTGTTTTTTCCTCTTTTTTCCTTCTTAGCACACTGACTGGCCTATAGTAGGACTCAATAAAAAGTATTTGGAATGAATAAATGATAAAATGCATGGCTGTACTCTCAGAGATTATGAAGACTGTTTTATGTAATTTTCTGATATAAAACATCTCCGTCTTCTGTAGTAACAGTTGCATTCAAATTCATGGAAAGAGAATGCCATTTCTTCTTCTGCACAAATTATGGTAAGTAAGGAAAACATATCTTGAGCGGAACCAGAAGCATCTTTATGAAATACGAGAAATCCAACAAGCAAGTATACTTTAACAAAGACAAAATGTAATGCACATTATGAAGAGATTGCTTTATTGTCCTCGTCTCTGTGCAGGATCTTTCCATCATGACCAGTGGGATTCAGTTCCTGGATGTTTACTATTATTTAGCATTTAATAGAAATCTTTCTCCACTGGTAGATCAGCATGTAAAGAGGATAAGTTCTTAAAGACACTTTGATGTTGAGAAAGGCTGAAATGCTGAGAGTAGATAGATAGTATCAACTTACACAAGAACTCTTGCAGAGTAAATCTCATGGACACAGGAGTTTGGTACTGTGATTTTGGTCAGAGTGAAGCAAAGATGATCCAGGATATGACTGAAGTAATCACAATGGGATATTTGGCCACAAAAAGACAAATAAATAAATTGTGCTATGAATTCTTTACCATGCTCTACAATTCAGATAGCATTTGTAAATTCTTTATTGCTGTAAAAAATGGATGATCGGAAATAATTTTAAGATACTGTATGTAGTAATAAACTGCTGAGATGATGGATGTAACAATCCTGAGCATTTATAAAGTGGACTAATATTATATATGCATATCTCCATAACATGTTATAACACATGATAATTTATTAGGGAGAAAGCATTTAAAAAAAATCAATTCTATATAAACACTCCCTGAATCTAAAGTGCTGGCAACTTCTGCCTCACGGGGAACTCATTTTCCTCCTTTCTAGTAAGCCAGTAATTTTTGAAAGACCTCAATTATAAATCCAAATTTTGGTTGGAAAAATGTGACTGACCACACCTGAAAAAGGAAAATGCGAAGTGAAAAATATCACTCTTTCTCTGCTCATGTAAGTTGTCAATAAGTTAGCTGCATGTCATTCATGAGATGACATTATTTGGATTGTTAATTTATACCATTTACAAAGACCAACTGTATTATTATTTTAGTCCGTGTTTGGCAACGCTGAAGAGCAGAAGCTGCAGACATGTCTGCTAGATAATCTGGGCCAAATTGCAGCAAGGATAGATAGGCTATTATTTCTAAAACATTCATGTAAAGCAACTAATTACATTTTGCTTTTTTTGCTTTCATATTCCTCCTTTTTGGATTGTGGACTTGTTCCATCCATCGGTAAACTTGTGGCATCTTCCTTGATTGAAGGTGAATCTGGAGCAACTGTTCTTTTGGCAAACGCTGGCAAGGTTAGAGAAAAGAGAAAAACAAACCTAGATGAATACAATCCCTGGGCTGACAGAATTGTAAGTAATCACTACATTTGATCCAGTTTTCTGTAAACTTTTCATGGGTTAACAGACCTTCAATGTAGGAATAAACATAATCAGTGTACTATATTTTCAAAAACATATTCATATAATTTAATTTTTATTTTGTGGGGGGTATTTGAAGAGTATGTAAGGGCGGAAGATGTGCGCTTGGTCATATATAATGGTATAAAGTACACACAGAATTTTGGAGGGAGAAATCTTAAGGGCCTTCTCTTGACAGAACCCTTTGTTACACAAAAGGGAACTGGGACTTGATCTAGAATCTAGGTTTACCGTTCTCCTACTACCTCTTCCCTCTCTGCTGAGCTCCAGACGTCTATATCCAACTATCTTATGTAAAATCTTTCCACTTGATTTCTTTTTTTTTATAATTTTATTCATTTATTTTTTCCCCCAAAGCCCCAGGAGATAGTTGTATGTCATAGCTGCACATCCTTCTAGTTGCTGCATGTGGGACGTGGCCTCAGCATGGCCGGAGAAGCGGTGTGTCGGTGCGCGCCTGGGATCCGAACCCGGGCCGCCAGCAGCGGAGTGCACGCACTTAACTGCTAAGCCATGGGGCCGGCCCTCCACTTGATTTCTAATCTCTGATGCCAGCCCATTCCTTACTCTTCTCCATCTTAGAAAATGATATACTCATCCACCCAGTTTCTCAAAGCTCGGTTCCCTCCTTCTTTTGTCCTGCCGGCTCCACCCGTCCAATTTAAGAGTAAGTTGTGATGATTCTACTTCCCAAATTCACCTAAGTCCTTCTGCTTCACACCATCTCCACTACCATCACCCCAGTGCAAGCCACCATTTCCTCTCTTCCTGTTGTCATCTTGCCCCCTTCTCCACACCACAAGCAGAATTATCCTTCTGAAAGGTAAATCAGATTGTGTTACTCTCCTGCATAACCCCCTCATCCCCCATCCCACCAATGGCCTCCCAGTGAACTTAGAATAAAATCCAAACATCTGACTGGCTGAAAAGGCTTCACTGGGACCCCATCTCCTATCACACGCTCACTCTCTCTCTCTCTCTCTCTCTCTCAATCACTGTCTCACTCACACACTCTTTCTCTTATTCACTCCCTCACTAATTCATTCTCACTCTCTCACTCATTCACTCCCACTCACTTTCTCACTCATTCACTCACTCTCACTCTCATTCACTCTCACTCATTCACTCTCTCTCACTCATTCACTCTCTCACTCACTCACTCATTCACTCTCTCACTCACTCACTCATTCACTCTCATTCACTCACTCTCTCATTCACTCTCACTCATTTATTCACTCACTGTTTCACTCATTCACTGTCACTCTCTCACTCACTCTCTTACTCATTCACTCTCTCAGTCACTCACACTCTCACTTACTCTCTCCCTCACTCACTCTCTCTCTCACTGAGTTCCATCTCTCTAAAAGACCATACCGCTTTCTTCTCTGGGGCCTTTGCACTTACTACTCCCTCTCTCAGGAAAACTCTTCCTACTCAATTTTAACTCAGCTAGCTCTTCTTGCATTCTGGTTTCAGCTCATTTGTCACCTCCTCAGAAAGCCATCTCCTGACCACTGATCTACAGTAGTAGTCCTGTTCCAGGTACCTTCTGTCATTACACCTTATAGCACCAATAGCCATGTTAAATTATTTGTTCACTTGCTTACAACCTGTTTCTTCCATGAGATGAGGTGACCTTTTCTGTCTTGTTCACAACTGTTTCCCCCAGAGCCAGACAGACAGCCTTGTGCATGGCCTCCTAGTAAATACTGCTTGAACAAGTGAACATACTTAAGGGATTTTAACAGTTAGTCCATTGGGGATTTTCTAGCTGCTTTCTAGAAAGCATCTAGAGAGTACCTTGTCAAATTGCAACAATCAGAACTTAGTAATTTAAAAATATCTGGCACCTAATTGGTTAGTGAAAAGATAGTCACAAAAAAAAATCACTATCACACAAAATGAACCTATAAAAATGGAGAGACAGAAAAGTTGTGCTTTCATGGAATAAATAAATACTTTAATGGACAAGAAACATTTTTTTTTTTCACCTTATCAGTACCCCAATGTTTTTATTGCCATAAATCTTTGGCATTTTATTCTACAAGTTTGAGGACAGACTACACACGAAGCATCACAGTTAGCTGGGTGGACCCTAAGTATAAACAGAAGTGAAAAGAAGGTGCTATTCTTGCTGTGGATAAATTATTTTTCATCTGAGGGACTTAAACTTCCACTAAAGGCATCTCAAAACACAAATTTAAAATACTAACTTTTCTTTTTATAGCAATGTAAACTGAGATAAGGAAGCAAAATAAAGTTCTTTTGAGCAACATTCATTGATTTGCTTTTCTAAGAATATCAACTTAAATTAAAATGTAAGATTCACTTCCTACTCCTATAGTAATCCTTAGATAACACTTTGGCCCAATGAAAAATCACAGTCCTTTCTTTTTGGGATTATTTATTGATTTATTTTAATAAACATTATTAACAACAGTTTTAGAATTACAGAAAATTTGCAATCTGCAATTATTTTTAAAATTTAGTTTAGAGATACCAACTCCACAAAGATTAAGCATTTTAACCTCAAAGGACTCGAGATTTCGAGACATCATCAGATTACTACAGACCTCACTCAGTTCCGGTCTGCTCGGGCCCCAGGAGTGAAGGCCCTGTCCTGGAGTTGTGTTCCTTTAGCCTAAAAGGAGCTATACATGGAGACCAGTGGTCAGTCACTACTTATAAAAAGTAAAAATGACAGTTTCAAAAGCTAGCATTATGAGTTTCTCTTACTAAGCCCCCACTGTCTACAGGCTGAAGGTAATGGAATCCAAGAGTGTCCTGAATCATGGCCATAACTTCTAGCCAGCCAGTATAAATTTGGTAGTAATCGTGGCTCTAAATAATGGATTTCTGTGTTCCTATTTCCAATGGTAATATAAACTTACAATTTATACATTTCTTCCCTTCTTCCTGGCAGAAGGAATTTACCTTTTCTTGAATTGACCTGAACTACACAAAGCTGACACAAATTACTATCTAAAACAAACTTTCATTAATGCTGGATCATTTCAGAGACCACAAATTATGCAGTATTTTCCCATTTCCTTTGTTTTTTCCATGATCAGTGATTCTAACACTTTAGTTTGGTCACAGTTTGATAGGGCACCTAAGTCAGCAGAATGAATGCCTTTGTGTCTACAGCATAGACAAAAGGGCCTCATCCAGTACAAATCCCAAGTTGAGTAAGAAGGAGCCTGTTCTGTGGGCTCATAAACTCATGTTGCCTCAGCACCTAGAGTTATTTACTCCTTATACCTCCATACAGGTCTAAACTGCTTTCAACTCCAACCCCCAGCTTTCACGTTCCATTCAAAAGTTAACAAAAAAATCTAACACTTGCTAGTCAGACTTACAAGCTGGGGTTTTCTTAGTAGCATTTTATTTGAATAAGATTACTTTTTAGTCAATGTACATACACATATCAAATAGCACCAAAGGGCTCCAAAGAAAGACAGCAATCTCTTGCCCCATCCCTACCAATCCCACAGTCCTACTCCCCAGAGTCAGCCACAATCAACTCTTCTAGCTTTATTTTCTGTATTTACTTCAATTTTTGTAAAAAAAAAAAAAAAAAAGAAAAAGAAAAAGAACCTTATATTGCTATTTTCTGATTTATCAATTTTTAGACTTATCCACACCCATCCACTTCCCCTCACTCCATCCTCCCCATATAGTTACATGTGAACTCCTGGTTATGTCAATAGTAAGTATTTATATTATTATGACTACATAAATATGGCTTACACAAACCTAATAGGTATACTATGACAATGTTTCTTTTCTTGCTCATTTTTTCCCTGGGAGTTATTAATTGACTCATGTTTTTATTTTTGATTTGCTCTTTCTCTACCACCATTCTTAATTGTTTCTAATAGCTCAATTAGATCTGCCATATGTCTATTAGTAGTTTTTTTCTAAGTGCTCAACTGAATCAAATAATCTGTCAGTTTTTTGTTTACTTCTTAAAGATTTTCCTGATGAAATCTTTCCCCTCTTCCTTCAATATGAGAGACCTAAAGAACATGAGTGTCCAGATTAAAAGGCTCACCCAGCAAATAGCTAGAAAAGTGAATAAAACAAGATCTGCAGGGAAGGATATCATCACAAAACTCATTGGAGTGAAAGAAAAGATCCTAAAAGTTCTCAGGGCTGGGGTGGGGAGCAGTGGTGGTGGAGAAGATCACCTCAAAGGAGTGGGAGTCAAAACAAAATGACATTAGGTTTTTCAACAGCAACACTGGATTTTGGGATTTTGGAAGACAATGGTGCAATGGTTTCAGAAGGAAAATCATTTTCAACTAGAATAGACAGCCAAAATCTCAGTCAAGTGTGAGTGGAAGAAATCCATTTTCAGAAATATAAAGACTGAAAACATGCACCTCCCTTTCTTTAATGTGCTTCCACAAAAGAAAGGATTGAAACAAGCAGAGAAAGGCATGGGATCTCAGGAATACGGGCATCAACACGAGAAGAGGGTGAAGAAAAATCTCAGGATGACAGCTGTGCAACAAGCACTTGTTAGGTGGCCCTTTTATTCTGCCCACTTCTGGCCTCCGTTCTGTTTTCTTTATTCTCTTAACCAGAGACTCTCACTAATCAGGTATTACCCTCTTGAAATGATTTTCTAAATATCTTATCTTTTCTCTCCTATTATTCCATTCTTTTTCTTTTTCTTCTTTCTTTGTGATTTTCTCAACTTTGTTTTCCACCTTTCTAGTTGATCATATTTTACATTTTTGAGACTTCTTATTCTGTGTTCCTTTTTCATAGCATCTTGCTCTTATTTTTAACGGATGTAATAATATTTTCTCTTAGATCTCTGAGGGCATTAATGAATATTTTAAAGACACCTTCTGTTCATTGTATTATCAATTTACCGTAGGTTCTATTTTTCTTTTTGTTGGTATTGACATCTCTCCTTTTTTAATTTTGGAGGTTTAAAGGGATATTAAAGAAAAATGATAGGACAATTTCTATAACTAAGCTGAAATTGTGCCACAAAAATAGAAGTATTCAGAGTGATCGTAATCCACTTCTACAATACCACATTATGAAAAATGCATAGAAAATTCAAGCTTCATCAGAACAGCAAATAAGAACAAATATGATTTCTAGAAAAAAGTTTAGTTCAATCACTTAAAACGATTAACAATAAGGTATCTATGATCAAACCTTTTAAAGTTATCCTTGAAAATATGGAGGTAGGTGTAGGAAGAAAGTCATAAAACAAAGTTCAAAAAGAAGAGTAGTAAAACATAACGTTATGAATTAATAAATAATTTATCAATAAATTAAATTAATGAAAAGGTTTACTTTTTAAGTTAAATTTTTCAGTCAGATTTTACAATATAGACTATAATAAGTATCTTTTTATCCAAATTATGTTCTCAATGATATTTTTTACTATTCTTATTTAACTTTATTTCCTCTTGAGCCAGGGTATTTATACAGAATCCTATGGCTACCTGTGAGGAATATATCTTAGAGAAATGACCACAGCTGGTCATGAAATGCTACTGAGTGGAAAGCTGAATACAAGTTTTTTTCACTGCCTATCATAATATTAAATAAAATTCCCAAAATCTTGATGTTTCCCCCTAATGTCTTCTAACCACTTCCTTCAAGGTGTCTTTCTAGGGAGCCTTATGAAAGTCATAATGGCAAAATTCAATAGCAGTAGAACAATGACTACTGAACAGAAGAACAATGCTGTGCAGTAGAACAATGAGCACAGAGCACTGTGCTCATATCATGGTGCTGTTTATCTCCTGGCTCTTGAACATCTTATTGGATGGGAGACTATGATGTTTGATGGTGCTCTGTCCTTACCCCCTCCTCCATATCTACATACATCAAACAGACCTGAGGAAATTTTTCCATTACTTAATATGAAAGATAAAAAAATTTGGCCTATGTGTATATCAGATTCTGAGGTACCAAAACCAACTTGAGATATGATCCATATTGAAGGGCAGCTGCCAGATTAGAATAGCAGAGGGTTTATACACAAATAAAATCACTTGGTAAAATGGTTAGGACAAGAAAGAGAAAATGCTTAGGTTTTGGAATAAAATAATCATGGTATAATGAAAACCAAACCACTTATCAGAAACTGATAAATATTTATTCAATGAATCCATGAATATAAATAAGCAAAGAAAGAGAGTTATCACTTTTAGATTTGACCTACTTCCTTGTGGCTTATTTCGGTATTTTATTTTATAGCAACTTAGCTTTTTTAAATGACAGAGTTGTCAAATTTAATGTACAAACTCTATGCCCATGGTAAACTGAAGAGCTAAATAATTATCTAAATAAGAATCCATTAGATAACATTTGAGTCTCAATGGTCTGGACAAAAGTGGACTTGAAAGAAACAATTCATATACCCTATCATCTAGTGTTAATTAAGCATTTACTATGTGCCAAGTACTATGTAAGATGCTGAGGAAACAGTGGTGAACAAAACAGACATCATTTCTGTCATCATGGAATTCACTCTTTGGTGAAGAGAAGACTCAGTAAACAAAAAATCACTCAAACAACAAACAACTCCATAATTATTCTGATAAGCTTTTTAAAGGAAAATTGTAAGGCATTATGGGCATTCATAACAGAAACCATACTTAAAACTGTAAGTTCTGAAGGCTTCTTTAAGGACATTACAGACAAGCTGAAACTTGAAGAATAAGTATATAGGGAAGGAGAGGGAGTAGATGGTGGGAGATGGGACCCTGGGTCAACAGACTCGCACATTGTTGACGTTGATGACATTTTATCAACATTTACAGTGCATTCACACACTGAAATCTGGCTGGTAATAGTATTAGTATCTTTATCTTTGCACAAGATTAGGTATTTCTGAATAGTTCTATGCAAAGATTTTCCACTTTTCAATGACTTGAATTTCATTATAATACTATCTAACTTTCTTTACCCACTTATCCACAGTTACTAGTGATCACCACACAAAAAATTTGCTTAATTAAGATTATTACCTTGGGTGATTCATTTTAAGTTTCTCTGAGAAGTGTAAAGCCAAAAAGTAGAGATTCCATATTTTTTTTAGTAAATTGGGTAATATAATAAGTGTATTTGGGAGGCATTATTTGTACGATTCATAATGAAAATTTCTTCAAACTCATAACATGAATATTACTATCATGTCCTGGCCTGATACTTTAATCTTTCCATGAGTTGCATTTTCTTAAATCCAATTTAAAAACTGGTTCAGGACTTCATTACTTACAGTTCAGGTGTGAAAATCGTGGACTAGATAGGAAGCGGCTGTGATCATGCCAAGAGGATGAGTGATCTAATACATGAGCGTGGGAACTTTCGGCAAAGGTTCTGTCATCCTAAAAAAGAGCACAGCATTTCAGTTCAATGATTACAAAATGTAAGGATCGGGATTCATTTTAACATAACGAAAATGAAATTGAACCTCAATATACAAGCTATATTATACCACAATTTAATATAACTACAACCTGTGTAAAAAATAAAATATGTGCATGTTAAAGAAAGTATGAAAAAAAGAGAAAGAAATCACCCATAGCCATAACAACATGACATATTTCCTTCCAGTCTTTTTTTCCTGTGGATAGAACTTGTAAGCGTGGTTATAAAATTTTGTGTTCTTTATCTATTTACATTAATACTATAAACATTTTTGAAGTTATTACATTATCCTACCCTTTAGCTTATGTGTTACTCATACATTATCTAGTGGATATACTATGTTTTACTCAGCTATTACTCTACTGGGCATTTAGGTGGTTCACAATGTTTTACCCCTATAAATAACACTGTGAGAAATATCTTTAAATATATAATCTTTTCCATATTTAGGACTATTCCTTATGACAAATTCTTAGGTGGAAAAACTAGGTCAATAAAAATAATTTGATGTTTTTAAATACATTTAGCTAGACTGCTTTCCATAATGATTACACTAATCCTCTTAGTCATTCAACAAATATTTAACGCATAAACAAAAATGAACACAGAAAAGGTCCCTCTCCTTGTGGAATGTGTGAATGTGTCCTTTTCTCTAAATCTTAGCAGAAAAATGGGAATTATGACTTCAAATAATTTTACTAACTAAATAGATTAAAAAATAGATGCTTTAATACATTTTTCTTTGAAAAATAGTAAAATTGCCGTTTTTTTCTCTTGAATGTTTTCTAATTATTATACTTTGTTTTTTCTTTCACTCACTCATTCATTCATTCAACAACTGTTTATTGGGCACCTACTATGTGCTGGTCAAAAAGCAAACAAAACATTGGGTATATGGTCATGAAACCTTTGGGCTTGCAGGAGAGAAAGGCATTAAAAACACTATACGAAACACAATATAATTTAATATAGTGATAATAGCTATAAGAAGAATAGGAAATAATAGGAAGAATTACATTTAGATCTGAGGTCCAGAGAAAAGGCCCCTCTGGGAGGTGATATTTACGGCAATATTTGAATGCTGAGTATCAATCAATGAATCAGCCAGGCAAAAACTTATGGGTGGAGGATGGGAAGGTAGGAGACAAGGGGGAGTTGGAGAGGGTAGTCAGGGAATGATGTTCCAGACTTGAGTGTTCCAGACTCAGCTGAGAAAGAGTTTGGTGTGTCTGAAGAATTGAAAGACCTCATGGCTCAGGCAACTGAGCCTGGCGGAAGTGGTTACAATGAAATCCAGTAGAGGGATTTGGATTGGAGATTTTTTTTTTCTTTAATACCATCAGAAGGCAATCAAGGGTTTTAAGGAGAGGAATGACAGGATTTGATTTATATTTCTCAAAGATTACTCTGGCCTCTGTGTGGAAAACAGATTAGAGCAGCACAAATGGCGAAGTGAGAAAACCAGTTAAAAGACTGTAATTGAGGATAACCGTGGGGTCAAGGGAGAGGAAGGGATCAAGAATGATGCCGAAGATTCTAAATGAAACAATTTCAGGTTTGGTGGCCCCCACATACAGTAAGGCTTCATGTAACACAACCATCTGATGAATTAGTTGTCATTCTCTGTACTAAGTACCAATTTTCTATTTTATGTCTTTGTCACAATATACGTATGCAAATGAAAAAGGAAGGCCAAAAAGAACACATTTATATATAGTTGTAAAAGGCCCACTATTCTGAGCTAATAAACGCATGGACATAATCCTGAGATGGTTTGTGATCATTAGTCCTCATGTACCAAAAGGGAGTTTAGGTCTATTTAAGATGAAGGCCCTAAGGTTTTTAACCAAATGATTTATAGTTTTCACTAATTATGGGGATTTCATAAGAAACTGGAAGTCATTCACTATAGGATCTCTGGAAAGGAAAGGACATTGTGTCCCAAGTGTATTCCAACAGCTATTTTAGAATGGGCTTATATAGGGCAACCAGAGGCAGGGCAACGGACCTGGCTATTATAGTTCACATGTGAAATACTAAAGGCCTGGGTGGAGTTGGAAGATGCATAAATAGAGAATTATGTTCTCAACCAATATTAGAAATATCCATTTTATCATGGTTTCTATATGAAGCACAAAAGAGAAAAGCATAATACATAGTTTCCTGCTAAAAGATGCTTTGATGCTTATGGGCCAATAAGAGGAAGAAAAAAATGAGGGAAAGCAAACACATTCACATTTTGCCCATTGACGCCTCGACTGAGAAAGACAGGGAGAGGAACACGTAGGTAGGTCTGGGAGTCTTGCTGAATGAAACAGATGGTGCAATGATAGCCTCAAAGTGTGCCTACCAGAGGAAGGATGGAATACACAAAGATATTCAAATCCCATTCTTCCCAAAAGGCATGTTTTTAAATTTCCAAAAAAAACCAACAGGCATCAAAGCATAGGTTTTCTCTTTTCTGTTTACAGAAAGAGAACAATTTATATTTTTAATTATAAAACCAGCTTCTTGGCATATAACAGTTAAAATATGGCATAATTTGTAAAACAGAAAAAATTAAGAAGCAAAAAATTAATCTGACAAATTAAAAAAGAAAATCTATTAGCCTAATTGAAGGGTTTATGTTTTCTAGTTTTTATATATAAATATCTTTCTATATTGAGATCACCATTTGTTGATAATTTCATTTCCTACTTTTTTCATGTAACATTATATGAGGATTTTCTCTATCATCATCATTATTGTCATTATAGTTAGACCATAGCTTATTTTCCTGATCTCCTATTGTTGGAAATTTTTTTCTATTATAAATAATAATTTGACAAACATCTTGGAGCATAAAGCTTTGTCCATGTTTTTAATTTATCAACTTAACATAGATTCCTAGAAGTAGAATTACCGGGTGACACATTTTAAGGCTGTTTGTTTATAGCCATTTCATCTAAGCTGTCAAATTTATTGGCAGAGTTGTTCATAATATTTCCTAATTACCATTTTAATGTCTATAGGCAGTCTAGTAACATCCCTCTTTATTGACAATTTGTATCTTCTCTCTTATTTTCCTAATAAATCTAAGTAGAGGTTTCTAAATTTTATTGATCTTTTCAAAAAACCTGGTTTTGGTTTCATTTTTTTTCCTATTTTTCTGCTTTCTATTTCATTGATTTCTGCTCTTTATCCTTCTTTTTACTTAATTTAGGTTTAATTTGCTCTTTGTTTTCTAGTTTCTTAAGGTGAAAACTTTGATTACTGATTTGAGACTTTTATTTTTTTGTACTATATACATGTAATGTCATAAATTTCCCTCCAAGCACTGCCTTAGCTGATTTCCACAAATTTTGATAAATTGTGTTTTTATTTTCATATAGTTAAAATATTTTCTGATTATCCTTTTGATTTCTACCTTGACCCACCCATGGGTTATTCAGAAGTATGTTGTTTAATTTCTAAATATTTGGGAATTTTCCAGATATCTTTCTGTTACTGATTTTCTAGTTTCATTCTATTATGGTTAGATGACATACTTTGTATAATTGCAATCATCTTAAATTTACTGACATTTGTTTTATTACCCAGAATGTAGTCCATTTTGGAGAATGTTCGATGTGCACTTGAAAAATATATATAATCGGCTGTTGTTGGGTGGAGTAGTCTATAGGTGTCAGTCAGGTCTAGTTGGCTGATAGTGTTGTTCAAGTCTTCAATATCTTACGGATTTTCTGCCTACCATTTTATCAATTACTGAGAAAGGAATGTTGAAATCTCCAACTGTAATTATGGATTTGTCTGTTTATTTCTTACAGTTCTATCAGTTTTTGCTTCATATATTTTGACACTTGGTTAATAGGTACATACAATTTAGGACTGTTATCCCTTCCCTATAAAATTGTTGACTTATTCAACCACTCACATGTCTTTTTTTCATATATAGAAAATGAGGAGGTTTATTTCTAATATACCTTTAAGTTCCAACATTTTATGTCTTCAAAAGACTGTCAGAATCTCCCATATTATCCTGAAATATAATAAAATGAACCCTAAAAGAACATCCTAAAAGAAAAATATTTCATAACTCCTTTGAATAGTCAACATAACAGAACATGAAAAAAATACCTTCAGGTTCTCTAATTATATATTCATATTTAATTTGCAGAATTTCTTTCTTTTTTTTTTTTTTTGTGAGGAAGATCAGCCCTGAGCTAACATCCATGCTAATCCTCCTCTTTTTGCTGAGGAAGACCGGCTCTGAGCTAACATCTATTGCCAATCCTCCTCCTTTTTTTCCCCCCAAAGCCCCAGTAGATAGTTGTATGTCATAGCTGCACATCCTTCTAGTTGCTGTATGTGGGACGTGGCCTCAGCATGGCCAGAGAAGCGGTGTGTCGGTGCATGCCCGGGATCCGAACCCGGGCCACCAGTAGCGGAGCGCGGGCACTTAACCGCTAAGCCATGGGGCCGGCCCCAGAATTTCTATATGAGTAAATTTTACAAGGTGACCATAAGATGAATGTTTCTTTCTAATTCCTACATATTTTTTAATCAAATACTTAAATATTAAAAAGGAAGTATTGGTTAAGAAGGAAGATTCTTTGCAATTTTAGTAATCCTAGCTTTTGCTTTTTACCAATTCTTATATCCTTAGCACAAGGACCTATTTTTATTGCTGTCTTAAGTCTCAACAAGCTAGTTAGCCAGAATTCCCTGCAAAAATTCCACTGGGTGAAGGGACTTGCATTTTCTAATATTTTCCCTGGGTTCCTTCCACTTCTCTTTCATAACCCACATTGTAACTGGTTTCTTAAAAGCTGTTCCAACCCGACTAAATCTCTTTGCTAAACTGATATCTAATGATTAATATTTAATGACGCCCACCAAGTATTTTTCTCTCAGGAATATTATAAGTTCAAAGTTTATAAGACAAATGATACATTTAATTTTTTTTAAATTTTAATTT